GAAACATACAGAAGGTCGAATCTCAGAATTCGACCTTCTGTATGTTTCTGAAGAAGAGATCGCTTCTGAGCTATCCGACCAAAATGTCTGCGGTGTAAGGCAGATCAAGATGCGCAAGGAAGGTAAGTTGATAGACACGAAACACGTGATCCTTACCTTTAACACGCCTGATCTGCCTAAGAATATTAAGGCCGGATATCTAAATATTCCTGTAAGACCTTATATTCCAAACCCTATGCGATGTTTCCAATGCCAGCGTTTCGGCCATTCTAAGACGTCTTGTCGTGGCAACCTCACAATGCGCCCGATGCTCACAGATTGGCCATGATTCTGAAAATTGTACCGCTGCACCTGTTTGTATAAATTGCAAGGGTGAGCACCCAGCATTTTCACGCTCTGCCCAAATGGAAATTGGAAAAAGAAGTGCAGACTGCAAAGGTTACGAGGAACATCTCATTGCCGAAGCCAGAAGATTAGAGTAGTCCAGAGCACACAGCTTCGACCAAATACATCATACGCCAGTGCTGTTAAATCAACACGTACCCTTGCCACCCAAACTTCAATAAGGTACGCAGACTCCACGAAATAAAACCAGCACCCTTCAACGCACTACATCCAAATAGAAAAAAGAAAATCCAACACACGTCGTACAAAAGATAAGAAGAAATAATTATTCAAAGAAAACCAAAAAATGTCCCTACAAAAAGCAATTAACAAAAATAATAGAATTAACTGCAGCAATAGCTCTGAGTAGATGAAATGATTTCTGAATCTGCTAGATTCAGACTAGTATGGAAGGGGAGGAGGGACTGGAATTTCCCAAACATCTGCTTCCGCGCAAAACTAAAAAGCAACACAGAAAGAAACAAACATCAGTCATAATGGCCACCCTCGTTGTCATGGAAATGTCGCGGTTTCCACCGAAATTTGATCGACATCAAAGTTCTATTATCAATGCTTATGATCCTGTATTGCTTAGCAATACAGGAAACAAACCTGAAACCAGAACAAGAGGCAAAACTTCGGAGGTTTTCTTTCGTCAGGAAAGATAACCTTGCAGGTGAGCGTGCCAGTGGAGGAGTAGGTCTCTCTCCTCACTGGTTATCCCTCAAATGTACTTCCTTTGACGACATCCCTCCAAGTTGTCGCTACTCAAATAAATTTTGATATTGTTGTTATTTGTTTCTTTGTATTTGCCTCCAAATGAGCACATTTATCAGCAAGATTTAAATAATCTAATAGAGCAGCTGCCTGAGCCTTTTATCATAATAGGAGATTTTAACGGCCATAGTCCACTCTGGGGTAGCAAAGATACAAATCGCCGAGGAAGACAAATTGAGCAGATGATCGAAGATCACAGCCTTTGTCTCCTAAATAATGGGCAAGATACGTACTTCCATGAGCCTTCAAGGACATTCCACGCTCTCGATCTTGCCATCTGTTCACCATCTCTGTTGCCATTTTGCACTTTTAGTGAAAAAGAAAATGCGACCCTGTAGGAAATGACCTGTACAACAGCGATCATTATCCCATTTTTGTATCTCTTGCACCAAGAGGAGCAAACCCCATGTCGAGACTCCCTCGGTTTATACTGGACAGGGCAGACTGGGAACTCTTCTCTTCCATTGCAGAGCTCAGAGATCAAATTGTAGAAGATCGGCATATCGATGACGCTGTGGAAGCTGTTACTAATACTATTATTCAGGCAGCTATGCTTTCGATTCCTAGAACATCAGGAAAAATGCTTAAATATACGAAACCATGGTGGAATCGCGACTGTCATGAAGCACTGAAAAAACAGAAAAAAGCATGGGGTATTTTTCGTAGATATCCTACTCTGCGAAACCTCATAGCCTTTAAAAGAGCCAAAGCAAATGCACGAAAAGTAAGAAGACAGAGCCAGAGGGATTCTTGGATTTCATATGTGTCCTCAATAACATCCTGTACGCCTAGTAAGCGGGTTTGGGAAAGAGTTCGAAAAGCATGCGGAATGTATAAAGACCACTCACTTTCCTTTCTGGAAAAAGATGGCCGAGTGATTAGCTGCATAGAAGAAATTGCAAATACTGTTGGTGAGACATTTGCTGCCGTTTCTTCAAGCAGAAACTATTCACCTGCATTTCTCTCTATCAAGCAACACTCTGAAATAAATCCCATTGCATTCAACTCTTCCAAATCTGAGCCGTACAATAGAGACTTTACTATGGTTGAATTAAGGAGAGCTTTGTTGCAGACACATAGGTCTTGTCCTGGTCTAGATGGCGTGTATTATGAAATGCTAAAGCATCTGTCCTATAAGTCACTGAGTGCCCTTCTCACACTTTACAATAGAGTGTGGAAGGAGTGTACATTTCCCAGTGCATGGAGGAGAGCTGTTGTCATTCCTATTGCGAAGCCAGGGAAAGACCCGAGGAATCCCTCGAACTATCGGCCAATTGCCCTTACCAGTTGTGTTTGCAAACTGTTTGAAAAGATGGTAAACAGCCGCCTAGTCTACTTCTTGGAAAAGAATAATATTATATCGCCTTATCAGAGCGGTTTTCGAAAGGGGGGGAGAACGACCGTAGACAAATTGCTTCTATTAGAGACATCTATTCAAAAAAGCCTTTGTCAGAAGAAGTCACCTTGTCTCAATATTCTTCAACATTGAGAAAGCTTATGATAAGGCATGGAGATACGGTATACTCCGGGATCTTCACGAGAGTGGCTTGCGCGGCAACCTACCAATTTTCATACAGAATTTCTTGAACGCTAGAACTTTTCAAGTAAGGATTGGCTCTGTTTTTTCGGATGTTTTTCAACAGGAAGAGGGTGTGCCTCAAGGCTGTGTGCTTAGTGTAATGCTTTTCAGTTTAAAAATAAATTCTGTATTAAAAGAACTTCCACCCACCATCTTGGGATCACTATATGTAGATGATTTACAGATTAGCTGTCGAGGAGCAGACATGAGATACATAGAGATGCAATTGCAGATGGCTCTGAATAAGATCCAAGAATGGTCAGACAAACAGGGATTTACTTTTTCGAAACAGAAAACTGTGTGCGTGCACTTTTGTAGGAAGCGAGGTCTCCATCCTGAACCTGAGTTATATCTAAATGGTACGATTATTCCAGTTGCGCCCGAAGTAAAATTTTAGGAGTGACGTTCGACCAGAAATTGACTTTCCTTTCTCATGTTTTAAACCTGAGAAAGAAGTGTTTCAAAACACTAAATATTTTAAAAGTGTTGGCGAACACCTCCTGGGGTGCAGAGCGTTGCTCCATGCTTCGCATTTACAGAGCGCTTATCCGCTCTAGACTGGACTATGGCTCAGCTGTTTATGGATCCGCTCGCTCATCTGTTTTGTTAAAACTGGATCCTGTTCACCATCAGGGTTTGCGGATTTGCTCAGGAGCTTTCAGGACTTCTCCTGTACACAGCCTATATGTTGACTCTAACGAACCATCACTTTATCTGAGGCGTGAGCAATTGTCTCTTTTGCATTATTTTAATATTCTACTCCCAACCTGAACATCCCAATTAAGCTGTGCTTACTTGATAATGAATGTGCAAGTCACTATTTGAAACACATCCATCCTGTGTTCCTACCTTTCCCTTTAAAGAGTTTCGCCCTGTCATTGAAGAAATTTCTCCTCTCTGATATGCACCCCCAAGCAGTGCAGAACTTTGAAATTCCACCTTGAGAAAATGTCACGGATTCAGCTTCTTGATGTTTTCAAGCATCACGTGAAGGAAAAGCACCTAACGAAGATAATTTACAGACAACTCTTCGCTGAGCACAGGCACAAGATATTAGCAGTTATTATCCAATATATACAGACGGATCCAAAGTCAAATGATCATGTCGGGATGGCATTTGTATTTGAAGATTACATTAGAGGGCAGATGTCTACACCCATGCCTTTGCTCAGTCCTAACATCTGAACTAACTGCAATATATTATTGCTCTTTTGTACATCTCAAAGCTCTGCCACAAGAACGTCCATAGTTTATTACAGACTCATATAGTGCTCTTAAATCGTTGGAAGCTTTTCCCAACACTCAGAATCCTGTGGTAGTAGATGTCCTGAAATTCATATAAATTTAACGATTCGCGGATATGAAGTCCTGTACTGCTGGGTTCCTGGACATGCTGGAATAAAGGGAAATGAGCTTGCAGATATTGCAGCCAAATCTGCTGATGAACTGACTAGTCGCCTTATCCCTTTTAGAGATATCTGCTGTGTCATCAAGGGAAAAGTCCGGAAAAAATGGCAGCAAATTTGGGATGTTCAGCTTCAAAACAAGTTAAGACATGTAAAACCTAGAATTGAGCATTGGGAATCAACCAAAAATCATAAGGAGGAAGTTCTTTTGACTCGCCTCAGAATTGGTCACACTAGAGTCACACATAACTATCTTCTCAAAGCTGAAAATGAGCCTGTTTGTTTTAATTGTAATGTTTGTTTATCTGTTCGTCATATTTTAATTGAGTGTCCATGTTTTAATAGTCTTCACCAGAAATATTTTAATAGCTGTGACTTACCTCTCGACCGTTTAATCGGAAGAGAGGTCAATTGTAATTTATTTTATTATTTGAAAGAAACTGGCTTTTATCACCTAATGTAATTTGTTTTAAAGATTGTATCTTGAATTTTAAATGTGTGGTTTTAACTTGTGTTTATATGACTTCATCCTCTGGATTTGATACATTTGTCTACTTGTTTTTATTTATTGTATTTTAATTTCATCAATTGTACTCACCCCATCACGTGTTTGGCGCACTATAATCATCTTTGGTTTTGCGCCATAATCTCTCACTCACTCACTCTTTTTATGTAAAACTTATAAAATATTTTTGGATTTCTCACAAAACAGAAAAAGTATTAAGCATTTTATAAAAATGAAATGGTATAATTGTCTTAAAGTATGGCATACTTATATTCTAAAAGCCATTCATTTCTAGTTTTACAGTATAAAAATTAACAGTTTAAACTGAAGAGTTATAATTTATTTTCAGATATCTGAGAGATTGACTGAATTTGATGTTGAAGAAGAGTCGTATTCTTGTCTCGAAAATCGCCATTCAAATTGTCAAGTGATTATAGCAGAAGCCACAGGAATCAATTCATCTAAACATGTAATTTAAAGATTTCAGACTTTTTTAATACTTTAGGTGTTTTTAGTTAGTTAATGCTATTTTTGTATTGTAAGGAAATTATTATTGCTATGACAGATTTAGAGTATTTGTATTCAGTTGTAATATTAAAAAAAAAAAAAAAAAAAAAAAAAAAAAAAAAATGCCTTCTGGCCCATAAACTTCCAGCTTAATATTTTTGAGAGAGATCACATTTTGTAATAAAAGTATGTCTTATTGCTATGAAGTGTGAAATATATAAGCAGTAATAAATATTTATTAATTTGTTATTAGTACACTAAACCAAATTTTTAAAATTTCTGAATCTATGAATGACTATTGAAATCCCTGTTAACAGGAAATAGCAGGAAGATTATGCATTTCTTTTTAAATAAAAAAATAATATGTATCATTACCATCTGATAAAATATTTAATAAATTTTTGTTTTTAAAAAAGTACAATTTGCAGAAATGTTAATAGATGATTACAGTGAATATGTTAATTCAGAATTTTACTGTTGCAATTTTTGTTTTTAGTACCGGTAGTAATGTATATGTATGAGAGTTAGAAAGAAATGCTTTAACAATAAGCAAAGTTCTAAAGCTATTTGTAGTATATAACTTTAGAAATGTAATTGTTTTAAGTAATTAATAAACAGCATGTAAACATGTAATTGTTTTGTTTAATGCGAGGCTCTCCAAATTTCTTTGACAGTCAACCCTTGCAAGAAATTAACTTTTTATTGACTCCTTCTGCTTAGTTACATAATTATGACACGAGGAAAAAAAAAAAGAAGCTAATGTCATTGGTTTATTTTACAGTGCTTATTAGTTTTTGTTTGCATATATCTTATTCTAATTTTGTAAGCTCTATACATAAATTCAACATTTGTTGAAAATGAAGGAAATAATAAAACTGTGTGAATTGGAGATACTGAATTTTATAGAAATCAAACAAAAACATTCCAGCCCTGATAGGTCACTACTTTATGTTTAATAACTCATATGTCACAAAATTTATAAAGGAATGAAAACTCACTTCAAAAGAAATCTCTTATACTTCAGACTTTTTTCCTTGTAGCACCAAATTGAAATTAAATTATTACAATTTAGTTATTTATTACAATTTTTGATTTTTAATTTACTTTTTCCATTGAAACCTCAAGTCACAATGAGTTCCTTTTAATGTCAGTCCTTTTAACCCGTAAGGATATATATCAACCATTGTGGATAACCCAATGGTTGTAAAATGTGGTACTTTTATATAATTTAATGTACTTTATGTGAAATAAAAGATTACAGTTTATGATTATATCATTTTTTTCGTTAGAGTATATTGAAGAGTGCCCCTTGGATTATCACAATGTTGTTGTTTCATTTTTGGTAGTCTGAGTAGTTGGATGTTATAAAAACCCTATTATGATGTAATTGGTTGCATGATTGCAGTGACTTTGAATGATGGGAAAAGATTTGTAAGGGCTTATGGTGTGTGTTTGTTAGGAAGTACATTGCTGGTTTTCTGGTTTAGATGGTAGAATGGCTGAATGTTGTAAGATTAATTTGAATTTCTGTACAATTTGGAATGAAAGGGGAAAAGTGCATTAATTGATGGGTGTGTAAATGAAAGATTTACTTAGTAGCCATTATAAGTGTCCTGTTTGTAGGAAGGAAATGTGTGTGGTTGAACGTCGGAGGATAACGTCGGCCATAATGAGGATATTTTTTACTCTTATTTTTGTGAATTTATGTGGTGACACCAGTATGCAGATTCTAGTTCAGATAATTTTAGGAAGTTTTTATATTTTTTTGCATACTGTTAAGGAATTTTGTTTGACTGAATACACGGAAATTTCTAAATAAGGTAAGTGGATATTTCCTTTGTGTAATGCTAAGATGAATTTCCTTTTTTATGTTATTTCATTGTTTGATTTAAAATGTAGTTTACTGAGATTATATATTTTTTGTTTGACTAAAGTGTAGCATTGGCTGCTCCTTAGACTTTTTTAAGTGAAAATAGATCGATGTGTACATGGACAAAGTCAAGGGAGTGCGCAATGCCAAGTTTGTGCAATTCTCTGGTGTTTTTTTAAGTGAAAATAGGTTGATGTGTACATGGATACTGAGTTTGTGCAATTCCTTGATTTGTTATTTTGGCTTTGTGTACGGGCGATATTTGCCAAAATAAAAAATCAATAAATTGCACAAACTCGGTGTCCATGTACTGCCAAAAATTTCCAAGTTTCGCCAAGGAGCACCCATAAATATATTTTTACCCATTTTTTTTTATTTATGTAAATTAAATTTGTTGGTGTATATTTTGTCAAGAAAGACATGATGTGATGCATAATAAACATTTTTTTAAAAATTAAATCTTATATGTAAATTATGTAGGTAATACTTTACTTTCTTTTTTAATATTATAAATCTTATTCTAGGAAATTTTGCTGTCCAATAAGCAAAGTGTCTTTTATCATAAGCTATGTATTTGTGCTGGAGCTGTGCCTAAGGTAAGGAATTTGGAACCTGTAAGGAATCTGTATTTTAAAATTTAGTTTTTTATTTTTATCTTCAATTTTAATTCAGTATATAAGGTGCATATGATGCAGCATGGCAAAAGTAACAGATTTTCGGTAATACAGTGTGTAGTGAAATATGAACATGGAAACACATTAAGTACAAAGAACGTGGAGACAAAAAGTTATTTCTGTCATAAATATTTACAAGAAGTAATGTTTGCTGCTTACAAAAGTTCTTGAAATGAATGATTACGTTCATACATGCATCACAATTAACGATGAAGGGCTTGGCATACACTTTAGAAGATGCCCAGCACGCCATGGTTTTACCGCTTTGTGGAGAAATATAATGAGTTTGTTTGCATTTGTTCAGTGTATTAGGTTCTGCGAGTAGTATTTCTTCCCAGTTTTGTCATGAAATAAAGAAGATAGGTGACAGTAAATGGCTCTTAACAGAATATAATAGATAGCAAATCTGAATTTTCTATAAATGATTCTGGTAGTCCTGAGAGCTCTTTATCAGAATTCTCTAGTGATGTCAAGGAATTGGAAAGTTCAGATAATGTAATTAAAGTTAAGAACTTTTGTGAAATGGATGCTAGTAATCCTCCTACACCACCGCTACGATTCCCTCTCACAGTGAATTTACATCTTTCACATTTATCTCTTGTAAAGTGTTCTTTCTAGTTCTGCAGTTTTGTAAAAAAAAAAAAAAAAAAAAAAAAAAGTAAAAAAAAGTAAAAATTCCTAATTTTGGCATAATTAAAAATTACCTTAAATTAATAAATGTAATACTTGTTATAGTTTTGACTGCTGATTTGAATTCATGTAATCAATTAGAATGTAAAATTGTGTATAAAACTATGCTTATTTTTGGTCACAATATGACAGGAAAATGAAATAGTTAAGTGATTAAATATATGACCTCAAGTTCCGTTACACCCTGTATACAGGTTTGCTGTTTATTTGAAAGATCTTAGAAAGTGAAAGAAATGAAAAATGCTGAGTTAAAAAAAGAAAAATGCTAAGTCAGAGAACGTATAATTTTTTTTTTTTTTTTTTTTTTTTTTTTTTTGTTGAAATATAAGAACAAATCGCAAACTTTTTCAAAAATTCCAGGAAATTTAAAAAGCATAGCTCAGTCCGTACAAGTAATAAAAAATTCCTGTCTTAAATAATTACAAATTAACAAAAATTGCCAATCTTAAAATAAAAAAAAAGTAATTTGATCTTTATTTTTCTTGTACAATGTACTACTCAGCTTGTTTAATTTTATTAACTTATGGCTTTCCTTTTCACCTGTTAAGGAGCTGATGCTAATTCTTTTCTTAAAAAATGTTAATGTTCTATCAGCACTTTCTTCATAAATGTAATTATTCTTAAAAATATTGTAATGGACTGTTATACAGTCAAAAGTCATTAATCCGGACTCGTCAGGACTTCGGCGATTCCGGATTATCGATTTTTCCGGATTATAGATCATCAGTTAAAATCTGGTAAGATGGCATGCAGAAATTATAAAATTAAAAATATGAAACCGTAATTTATGAAATAAAGAACAATTATGATCTAAAGGGTATAAAAATTTACAAAAAAAAAAAAAAAAAAAAAAAAAAGAGCTTAATATTTATTTGTTTACTTTATTAAACATTTCTTTCAATGTAAGTTGTTTAAGTAGCTTCATTTTTTATGTGATAATACATTCTCTTTAATTCTATAAACAGACATAATTTTTTGTTCAGTTACAAAGTTCCGCTGTTCAAGTCCTATAATTGCTGTGTCTACCGACTAATTTGTCAATCGAAATTTTTTCGTTTTCAATAATCTCTGTCACTTTCTTCGCTGTTGGAAGCGAATGATGAAGAATTTGATTTAAATCATATTAAAGACGGAGTACATTGAGACGAAATACTACATTTAGTAAGGAATTATAATCCAAATAAAATAAAAACATCTGCCCTGAAGATAAGGATAGTGCTGATAGATCAACTTCCAATTCATTGCGCGCCCGCCGAGGCGTTAAAGATAAACAAGCGTTAAAGTTTAGATAAACAAAGGATATGCCTTTATCCATTTTTTGTAGCAATTCCACTTTTTGTTTAATGAACTTTGAAACATACTTTCGCTTTGTAGATCCTTTACATATTAATAAATATATATCAGAAATTCTATTTGACATAATCGAAAATTCAAGCTTACTTTTATAAAATTGCTCTAACAGTCTGCAAATAATAAGCCCGATCCAATTCGAAGATTAAGGAACAACGCAATCTGCAACATTAACTGAAATAGATAATTAGATAATTTTAGCTTAGCTTATACCATCCGTTATACATTAAACGCACACTCGTAAACGTATTTTGCGCACGTTCACAAGCATATTCGCAGCCGTAAAGGTCTTACGCGCATGCGTCAAAGCGACGCATGCGCAGAAAGTTTGTAGCTTTGAGGTCTGGATTATAGATCATTCCGGATTATGGGTGTCCGAATTAACGACTTTTGACTGTAATAAATAATCAAAACTTTTACAATCTAGTGTAATTCAGTTTTATTTTGAAACATCGTAAGAGTATTACTGTACAAAGTCCAAGCTGTGGTCTCATCTAGATTTTGGCTATTTCAAATTTGAAAAAATTCTGTATTTTAGAACATCAGTTTAAATATAGATGGCATGTAGAAATTATAAAATTAAGACTCCAAAATAGTTTTTTTTATGAAATAAGGAAGCATTTAAGATCTTAAGGGATTCAGAATTTATGAAAGAAAAACTTCAATATTTGTTTGCTTTATGAAACATTTCTTTTAGTACAATTTGTATAAGTTACTTTGTTTTCTGTGTGAATGCTTTCTCTTCAATTTTACAGATAGACAAAATTTCATGTTCAGTTACAAGGTCCTGTTGTTGGGATGTCTAGATATTGAAGATCCAGATTTCGGACTTTGTACTGTATTTATTTTGAATATTGCTGTATTACAAGTTTTGTTTTTTTTTCTAATTATCCACACCCCTGCTAAATCTTGCCAACTTATTTTCAAAAGGTAATATATTTGGTTCTGTTAGTGGCTCATAGGTACTGTTCTTTTCCTGAATGAAGGAATATGAGAAATAGTAAAAGTCTGTATGGGCAAAATTTACATTTATCCAGCTGATATACTTTTAAGAGAAATGACAGTTAATATAAAGCATGTAAATTCCTGGGTGTGCGAGTTGGATATTTTTGCATGCATATTAAAAAATGTTCCAAAAAATATGTCATTTCTACTATAGGTAAGGGGTGATCAGAAAGTAATTATTTTTCCCCCAAAAAATAATTAGCTTTTTTCCTCCCTCCAGAATTAGGTATTTCTTTTTTAAAATCTTACCTGCTGATTTGAGTGGCTTAAATGCATATTTCCTGTATAATTCTCTAATTTTCTTTACATTAATGTGTAAAATAGAATTTTGTATGATTCTTAATTATTTTGCAGTAAATGCATAAAATTATGCAGTTAATCATATTTGATATAATAACTATCTCATTATTTTTGGTCAGGAAAATTGTCGCATTTGATCATGGAAAATCACAGAAATAAATAATTGAATTTCAGTGAAAAACCTATTATTTAAAAAATTCTTATATTTTTCATAATCTGTGCATATTTATTTGTTGATGTAAAACTTTAAATAGTTCATCTAAAGTATCAAATTCATAAACAGTTTAAGGTATACATAATAATTTTATGAATTAAATGTCATATATTCTTCACAATTGTAGGTGATTACCAAAGATTTCCCTTACGTAATAGGAATCAGAGATACGGAAACAATAGAAGTAAGTACATTAATATTACATATTTTTAATTGTCATTAATATTACATATTTTTTATGTTTATCATAAAGTATCATCCTTTTAACTAATGGAGTTACCTTAGATTACTAAGCTATATTGATGTTTCAAGTATTAGCAATGCATGTGTTACATTTGCGAAAGTAGTGTGATGCATATTTCTCTTTCAGGATTTGTATCGTTACCAGATAACATCTGTGTATAATGATGTGAAATTTAAATGTTGATATTTTGTTAAAAATTATTGAAACAAATTATTTAAAAACCTTAAAATGAGTATACGTTTTTTGTTGTTTCAAATTCAGGTAACAGACCACTTTGATTGAATAAAATGCTTTATAAAGTTTTTTGAAATTTTGTGTGAGTTTGTTAAAGTATAAGCTGTGTTTCCAGTAAGATTGAAGTGTTCTCATTGTTACAGATAGCCCAACATTCATTTTTAAGATGAATAGCAAGATTAGTTAGATAGAAATTCAAGTTTAGCTACTTATTAGCCCAAAGGTGGCATTACCCCAGAAGAGCTAGTCTGGAAGTGGCATTTCACATTGAATCGCTATAAATGTCTGTATCACTTTTCAAATTGTTGCCGCCAAATATTATCTCCCTGTATTGTATTTAAAGAAATTAACTAATAAAGAATCTGCATGAATGTATGCATGTTTCTCGCATTGTGAAAAAAAAAAAACGATACCTAGAGCCACCAAATTTTGAATAACATAGTCCTCCACCTGAATATAGACACCCGAATCTCGAATTTATTTTATTATCTGTTTCATATTTTTTAAACTAACTTTTTTTTTCTTTTTTTGGGGGGAGGATTAAGAAACTCTGATTTCAAACTGAGCAATGACAACATACTGTGTGGAATAAAATGTTTTTGTCTCCAGCGTGTGAGGCTGTCTATCAGAAATTCTGAAGATATGCTGTTTTTAAATATTTGTAGCCCAGATACTTTTAAAAGAAAAAAAAGGGGGGCTTCTTTTTTTAGTGTAATATAAAACCTGAAAGCTTTAAGATTTTTATATTTTATGGCATGTAATAGATCAGAATTGGGACCCTTTTTGTTGAACAAGCATGCTATACCGAGTGATGCGTATTGTTTCTGCCAACTTTAAATAGCAACAGAAAGGCAGTGAGGCCTTTCTAATGTTTAAAAATTAACTGGCACACGTGTTAAAAATGAAGTTAAAAATTAGATAAAATACTCTAGATTGAATATTGTAGAATGTCAGAATATTGTCTATCTTTCAAAGATGGAAATTCTAATGCAGATTAAGTTACTTTTGAAAGGCCCCAAGATAGAAGCAGTGACACCAAGCAACTTATTATCCCTTAGTGGCCCAGTAACAAATTATAAATTTTTAGTTTTTTCATAATTTTTCTTATTGCTGTTTAACTCTTTTTATTTAGGAAACTGTTTTTATGTATGCCAAACATGCATATTGCATATTTTAAATATATGCTTAATTTTAAAATATAATATATTTTAAGTAATCAGTCCTATTAAATGCAGAGCGACAGCATTATAGAAAAATGGAGCTGTCAGATTGAAGAATCCTGTTTTCCAGAAAGGGAAGTTTGCTTCTTGAAACTCCATTAGGTGCAAAATTCCAATTTTCTTTCTTCTCTTGTACACATATTCCTAAGTGATACTACTATAACAAATTACAGCTTTGATTTTTGCTTAATTTTCATGTTATTCTTCAACCCCTTTATATCGAGGGAGCTATTAATATTAAGAAGTTACTATTGTTTCATTTTTGTAACCTGTTTATGACATGCATAGTCCACATTTTAAAGTCTAATAAATTTAAATATTTTTTATGCATTTTAACCGTGTAATTTTTATAGCTAAAAGTATGTTTCATATAATAAATTTAAATTTATCAACTTCATATTCCAGTATATAAGTGTTACATTGTATATTCTTAATTATTTTAAGTTTATATACAGGTATAATAGAACTAATGGTCACAATTTTAATTGATGATAAAAAATGGCTAAAGTAACAATTGTCATAGTACACGTGAGATGGAATATGAAATATTAATGTGAAAATGCTGTAAGTGCAAAGAGCATGAAGAACAAAAAGTCATTTTAATCATTTTATTAAGGTAACCTTTGATTAAATTAACAAGAAATAGCGTTTGCTATTTACAAGAATTGTTCAAAAGAACAGTAATTAAAGGCAGTACATGAGTTAATGATGGAGGAACTAGAATACTGTTAAAAGGATGTTATCATGTAATGTATTTCTTCAGTAACAACACTAATTCTGGCAACAGAGTCTTCAATAAAGTCAGTATGCATTTTTAAAACAAGATTTTTCAGATAGCTCCTGAAAATAAATTCATATAGGACAAATGTAGAGTGAAAATATAGGTTCACTACACGTAATCCATCAGTTCAGAAACTGAAGATTCGGGTAGGTCTGCATTTTCGTCATATCATATTATGGACCTGCATTTTATCTTATTGAAATAACTTGCGTGCATAAACATTTGTTAGAATCAGTTCCAATAAATTCTTAAAAAATCAGGCAGAACTTAACTGAAAGGAAATATATTACTTGGTTCCATTGAGGTGTTTCGAATTGAATTTCCATTGAGGTGACGATACAGGTCATTTAAGTGATCGCAAATGACGTTGCCCATTCATTAATAGAAAAATGATAGCTGCAGCATAATTGTGTTGCATGAAAATTTGCAATGCCGACCAGTGAACATTATGCATACTAAACATGTCATCACATTTGAATGTTGCTTCATCATGTTCATAACTGAACAGATACTGCAAAATCTGACTGCATTGCAGGAACCAACCAGGTGTATTTTTGCAGGAACCAATGGGCAGGTATCACATTGGGGGGGGGATCCATTTCTACTAAACCTTGGACTTCATGGAGATGGTAAGATGCTTTCCATTATGGCAAGGGTGTAATTATTCTTTCTGAAATATACAGGGGTTGGACAAAAATATGGAAACACCTTTAAAAAAACATGTTTCTTTGCTTAATATGGTGTAGGAAACCCGTTGGCATCCAAAACAGCTTGCAGTCTTCTCGGAATGGATAAATACAGTTCCTGTATGTTTGCCAAGGGAATATTATACCATTCTTCCTGCAAAACGGTGGCAAGTTCAGATAACGATGTTGGCAGTGGATAACGAGAATGCACTTTCCGTTCCAATGTAGACCATAAAGGTTCGATAATATTTAGGTCTGGTGACTGTGGTGGCCAGGGGAGATGGGACAACTCATCCTCGTGCTCAGAAAACCAGTCCTGGACAATGTGAGGTGTGTGAACAGGGGCTTTGTCGTCTTGGAAGACACCATCACCATCGGGGAACAAAGTTTGTACCATGGGATGAACTTGATCGGCCAAAATGTTCACATAAGTCTTGGCAGTCATGTGCTCTGACACAGTTATCATGGGGCTAGCAGAGAACCACGATATGGCTGCCCAAACCATAACAGAACCCCCGCCATGTTTCACTCTTGGCAACAAGCAGTCTGTATTATAGGCTTCAGATGGCGTTCTCCAGACGTAAACTCGGCCGGAAGTGGGAAACAATGTGAAAGAAGACTCGTCAGACCATATTACTCGCTTCCACTGCTCTATAGTCCAGGCTTTATGGCTTAAACACCACCTTTTCCTGTTACGGGCATTAGCATCAATGATGAGTGGCTTCTCGATTGCAACACGGCCAGCCATTCCCTGTTTATGAAGCTCCCTTCTAATTGTTTTGGTACTCACAGGGTTCGGTAACACAACATTCATTTCAGCAGTAACTTTTGCAGCTGTGGTCTTCTTATTTTTCGTCACAATTGCCCTTAATGATCGTCTGTCACGATCACTCAGGACACACTTTCGTCCGCGCTGTGATTTAGCAGATGACGTTTTTTCGCTTTTCAAATATGCGGAATAAATCTTCGATACAGTACCTCTTGAAACACTAAACACCTCGGCTACCTTGCATACGGAAGCACCTACCATACGTGCTCCAACACTTTGCCCACGTTCGAAGTCTCTTAACTCTGACATAATGCAATGACAACCTCACATAACTGTACTCCGACAACAACTGAACTGTTTACCACATTTACGAAGTTGTATAGGTGGCATCAGTAGTCAAAACTGCCAGCACCACCTACATATTTCATTAAAATCAATCTTTCTTTTCAAACATGCATTTCACAAGGTGTTTCCATATTTTTGTCCAACCACTGTATGTCATACCATCACCTAACCTGCACTATGGGAACATCCTGCTGCTCAAGTGCTTATTTTTGGCTGATCTTTTACATTGCTTAGGATTGCCTTTATCCAACTTGGAGGTGTAGCTGTTCCATGATATATCATCAACCTCATGTCTGTAAACGAGGAATGATCTAGTTTCATGCAGTTTTCTGCAGATGCTGAAATGTTCTTCGACTGGAAACTACTTAATTTGGAAAATGCTGTGGGTAAACAACTAGATGATTAGCAGTTTGCAGCTTCATACTTCAAATGCATATCTTCCTCCTCAGCATTAGAAGCAGTATACAATTTGCAAATGGGGATGTGTTTGAAATGCTGCCATTTTATATATGCACCAGCAAGCACCCCCTTGCAACAAACCACTTGGCTTGTGATCATGTTTTCCATTAAGAAAATTCTTACTTTTGCATTCTGTTCCTTTAAAGTTGTGATAATCAATTCTGTCACACCCTGTATATTTTATGATTCAAAATGTATGAGATAAATTGTTGTAATATTTGTAAATCTTAAAGTTCTTAATATGTATATATAAGAGTTTATTAACTTTTAAAACTGTGCATATTGAGGATCAGACAATAAAATCGTGAAAAAGTAGACCATATAATTACTTTTGAATATTATAGGTTATATAATTTGATATGATAAATACATTTTTATAATGTATAATATAAATTTAGTGTTTAGTGTATATTAAATTATCTTTAGCATTTAGTTTTTTATGTAAATATGTAATTGTTCATAAAGAATTAGCTGTGGAAGAACAGGTTGCAGTGAAAATATATCTTTTAGATTTCCTTTGATAAAAGTAATTATTTGAAAAGAAAAAGTAAGAATTTAAAATGTAAAATAATATTTAAAGAATTGACGAGAACTTTGAAATATCCGCCATTGATTTATCTAAGACTGGTAATAACCGTTTTCCATGTTTGGAAATTTTATATATTTTAAGAATTCAGTTTGAAGGAAGTAATTATTAAATTGTGAAAAGGTAAATGTTTTTAAAGTCAATTAATTGTTCTATGTAGTTGTTATGTGTATATTAAATTATCAAATTTATTGAGTTTAAAATTTGTTTAAAAATTTCATAAGAAAATGCCATGAATAACAATAGAAAATCTTTTGGTGAATGATTAAAAAGCTGTGTAATTATTAATTTGTTTTTGTGTAATTTAAAAATTTAAGCTGTGTAATTTAAAGTGTGTAAACCACAAAATAAGCAAATTTTAAGTTTTTTTTAATCTTTAGCATTATGAATTTCACATTGTAATACTTGTCATATACATATTATTATAATGTTTAATATACTTTGCTTAGCAGTGACTAAAGGTAAGAAAACAGCTTTAGTAGAATTTGAATCTTGGTAAAATGTACTAGCTGAAGTTACTTTATACTAGCTGAAGTTACTTTATATAAAATTTTTCCTTATAACATAAACACAATGTATTTTTATTTCAGAAATTACTATAAGAAGCCATTTTTTTCCCTAGACAAATAGCTTTTAAATACTTCATCATAATCACTATATAGCCAATAATAAAATAATGTATACACTGCTGATTTAAGCCATTTTCAAAAATTAATCAAGATAGTATCATAATTTGTTAGTTATGCATATTTTTGTTGCTAACACCTTGAGGATTATTGATTGATGCAACACAATAAAAATATCAAAACTGAAAATGAAATTCAGTGTGCTTAAACTACATTAATATCACCATAGTTGTATTAACATATGTTTAAGTTATATAGCCTTTAATTTTTAATTTTATTAATCCTTTAATTTTTTGTCATTTAATTTTAATAACATTGTCATCATTAACTGTTATGTAACAATAATCAAATTTTATTTTCTAATGTGTAATTGACTATTGCATACATATGGTACATATTCATTTTTATTTAGATTTTTCAACAAAAATTGTCAAATGCAAGACGTGTGCTTATTGTTGGCAATGGAGGAATAGCAACTGAGCTTGTGTGAGTGAGTTTGTCTTAGTTTACATATATTATTATTTATGTGTATTACTTTATGTGTTTATTAGACTGTATGAATTTTACTTTTATAAAAAGTTTAAAAAGTTTATTTTTTTCCTTTTTAATTAGATATGAGATTGAAAATTGTGAAATAATTTGGGCAATTAAAGATAGGTCAGTTGGAGCAACATTTTTTGATGCAGGTGCAGCTCAGTTTTTCCTTCCATGTTTAAATGAAATCAAACAGCAAGAATCACCAGTATGTAAAAGAATAAAGTATAGTGTAGATGGTATGTCAAAAATCTTTATATGAAAATTCTTTTAAAATCGCAATAACATGTGTGGTCTTTAACTCTTTAACTATTGCAGTTGTCAATAAGCAATTTACCTTTTTTTTTTTTTTTTTTTTACATGTTAGACATTTCTATTTTGAATTCATGTAATATATTTCTGGTAAAAACAGGAAAAAAGGACTTGTCATTGGAAAAATTGTTTAGAAACATTATACAACAAATTTTGTCAAAACATGGAACCAGTTTGATCTCGTAAATGAAGCAGAGGATTGCTTGGCCGATGATATTATATTCTACATGGAAATCAGATCTTAAAGACCTGGGAAAGAAAAGCTCAGGCACCACAACTCAGTTTTTCAGGCTGAACTGATTACATTAAAAGCTGCACTTGTCTATGCATTGGAAAATAATTATTCCAATATTTATTCAGACTTTACCTTTAGCCTTCAGGCAATTCAAGACACGTGCAATAAAAGTCCATTCATCAGGGCCATACAAAAACTCTTAATAAATATACAAAATTTTATAGGCCCATATTCCAGTGGATACCTGCCCACGCTGGAATACTGGGTAATGAAATTGCAGATGCAACATCCAAAAGAGCAGCAACTGACCCCCACATTCACACACATGATATGTCTCTTCTGGGCTCGTTCTTAAAAGCCAAGCGGGAGAGAGAATTATTGAAGTGTTGGCAACATCCGTGGAGACAGAGACTACTGGCAGAAGAGTCTACTGATTTTACCCAAAAGTCTGTTGGCTTCTAAAAAGTGGCTTGCCTCACTTTATCTAACTGGGCTTCATGACTGGCTGCCTCGCTGTCGGTGGAAAGGAAGAAAGAAAAATTGGGTGTATGTATTGGACATTGTTTTAGAATGTACCACGGTCAAAAAAACTTTTTATATTAGCCTGTTTTATCGTTTATAGTTTATAAGAACATTTTATTTAGTTTAAGTTTATATGCTAGTGGTTTAAGTATGTTTATAGGATTATAAGTTTAGGCAAATATCTATGAATTTTTGTTATATTGTTTCTAACTGGGCTTCCTGACTTCCCTGCATAACTTCAGACGACGTGAAAGCGGCCAGTGCTTATGCGGAATGGCAGGTGATCCGGACCACTATATGTTTGTTTGTAGAGAGACTGCAGAACATCATCTCAGACAGCCAGTAGCGGACCATATCCATACGTAGGCTGAAGTTTCTTCGAAAAATCGCTATGCTTTGAAACGTATATGCGATTGCATAAATATTGCATGTAATATCTCAGACAGGCTGGAATAATATTCAGCTGCCATTTTTGTCACCAGCACAGCCCCGTATGTTCTGTACTTGTAGTAATTTAAGTTAGCCTTTTCTGTTTATATTTATTTCCTTGAATTGTGAACCTCAAATTATGTATTTAGCTTTATTCTGTATATTAGTTTTGATTTTTTATTTAATGTATTATTATTTTTTTATTTAATGTATTATTTTTAATTTTCTGTCAGTCACTCTGTCAGTTGCTCTTATAGTTAATGCACTATTCAGCTGATTGTGATTCAGTTACACCTGTGTTTTAACTACCCATTTATTGTTTAATGTTGTGGATGCTCATTGAAAGCACTAATCATAACTCTGTAAATGTGTAACTGAAATTGTTCTCCTCACCTGCATTGCACCCTTCTTCCATCACATTCCAAATTCATTGATTCACCCAGCATTTGTTTGCACTCCCCAGCACTCGTCTTGAGCACAATATTCACTGAAGTGTGTTATGTGGACCAAGTTAATTCCGTCAGTGGGGCAACCTGACCACTATGCTAACTGCCTCAGTGGATTGGCTGCCTCGCTGTCAGTGGAAAGGAAGAAGAAAAATTGGGTGTATGTATTGGACATTGTTTTAGAATGTACCACGGTCAAAAAAACTTTTTATATTAGCCTGTTTTATCGTTTATAGTTTATAAGAACATTTTATTTAGTTTAAGTTTATATGCTAGTGGTTTAAGTATGTTTATAGGATTATAAGTTTAGGCAAATATCTATGAATTTTTGTTATATTGTTTAAGGATATAATGTTACCCTTTTCTTTTTTTATGATGCTTCCAACCTCTCTGAAGCTAAACATAATATGAATAAAGAAATTTTGGAGAATCGTAATTTTTGAAAATTTTTGCATTTGGTTGTGTAGTCGCATATAATTTTACCTGTAGTTAAAGGGTGAAGAACTTATATTGTAAGGAGTAAAAATGTTACCACAAACAGGGTTTTGTAGTCATTGGGAGGAACAAGGTTTGTCATGGAATATCCTATTGTGAACTACATTTAGTCAAAGAAAATCAGGAAAATGCTTACACAGCGTTTAATGCCAAACAGAGGTTAAAAAGTATTCAGGCATAACTATGAAAACATTTTGCTTGACTTGTTTGCAGCATAGTCTGTGATGCAGGTAAATGCCTGAAAAAGGATACAAAGTATTAGTTGTTTGAAAAGGCAGGTGTGACATAATTGTTCAGCCCATGCTGATGGAAAAATGATTGTTCAAAGATATCACGTGTATTGCAACCTGAGTTTTTCTATTTTAGGTGTGTACATATTGTACAGTTATCCTATATCACAAGTTGCTACCTGGAAAGACCTATCTCCTGTAGTCATTGACTGATGATCATCGTGAAGGTGGGGTGTTACAGACAACTCTTCATTAGATAGTGCTCTTGGTACATTCACTGTGCTAAGCATCTACTTATCTTTCAATCAAATCCATATCGAAATATTCCTCCTTTCTGTAGTGAACCATGTTGTTCTTGAACGAAACAGATAATTGTTTCACATGTGTATATCACAATGATGCTACCACCTTTATTTGCTTGCAGCCTGTACTCCTGCTCCAGCATATGGATTTTGCAGTGCTGTTTATCTCAGACATGATGAGCCTCAGATAGATGAAATCAGTGATCAATAAACAGCCACCTTCTCTTTTTTCTCAGTATGAAAACATGCTTAGATTTGTGGTTTTCACTGACTAATCATGGATTGCTATGGCATGTTCCATTGTAATTACTGTATTTCTTGATGTTTACTGTCACCTCTCTGAATTTGTCACTGTATCAACTCAATATGTATTCAGAAAGATTTATTGTTTACATTTATTTATTTATCATATTCACTTTTGTAGATTGATAAGGGTGGCATTGGTTTCTGTTTAATGAGAGCTTTATTAGTTCTAAAATCACTTGTTTGTCTAAAAATGTCTAATTTGTATTTAGATAATTTTAGTCTCGTTTCATATTTATGATAAAGCTGTTCTGTGTGGAATTGTTTTGGATAAAAATGATTGAAACCTAACAATTCTTAGAATTTTTTTATTATCACTTCAAATTTTTGACATTTTTTGGAATGAGGTTTAAGATATCAATATTCGGCAAACTATAAAAACTCTGGATTTTTTTTTTAATGATGAAAATCTGACAGTACACAGATATAAATACTGTGATTATCATTTGAGCTACAAAAGATGAGCATATTCATCCGTCTTCCATTTCTACTTTTAAATTACCAATAGTTATTAATAAATAATTTGCAGGTTCAGAGATTAAGAAAAACTTTTTAGGACAGAACACACAGTTGGGTTCAAATAAATTTTTTCATTCAAAATTAATTTCAAATATGAATATATTAAAAAAACTAGTGCTATGTATGGATGTAGTGATGTAAAAATATGCTTGTACTGGTATGCACATTTTACCATTAACAACTGTAATAGTAAAATTTCTAACTCTAAATATTTGGCATTTCTGTATATTCAAATCAAAATCTTGACATTCTTAAAAGTTGTTTTCTTGAAATAGCATTAAAGGTTTTGCTTTTGTTATGTATAAGTCTGAAGTTATGATGAAATTTTAATCTTATGAAATATTTCAAACTTATTAAAGGTCCACCACAAGGAAGTCTCTGCATGGGAAGTTCTTTAGGGCCTGACTGGTCAATGTATGTCAACACAAAAGGAAAAACAAAAGTAAAATGCTCTTTTCACTTTTTAATTTCATACTGTATAGGGTTTTTCTATTGTAAAATATTCTGTTATTTATAGCAACATTTTGGCATGCTTGAAAATAGAGATAATTTGTGAATTTATTGAGTATGATAATTTGTGAAATTTAATAGCAGTTTATAATTGCCATATATATGAAGTACTAAAAATAAAGGTCTGACAGAAAATGCTATTATTTATAGTAGATGCCGCTTCATATGACCGTTCAGGTATTGCTATAGAATTGCCAAAGTTTCAACCATTTGTATATGAAAACATAAAAAGTACATTGCTCATTGGGATCAACAGTTAGTTAGTATTATTAAAATAATATAAAGTAAATTTTTCAAACTGAAGTAAAGTCAGCAAATAAGTGATGCATTTGCCAAAAATAGATTCTAAAAATTGGTAAGTGGCAGAGAAATGTTACCACATAAGGAATTAAGTTGCCATGCAATTTGGTTTCAGTTTCAGTAAACATTTAAAATAAGCAAAAAATGCAATCTTAGTTTGATGTAGATTTGGAATAAACTCAAATTGATTTTGTGAGTGATCAGGCATATGCTTCAGAAGCAAACAAAATTTCTACAGCTGAAAAAAAAAAAAAAATTCCTGAAAACAGTTTCAATAAAATAAGGTAGTCTTTTGGCATAATTTTAATTTTAAATTTTGCCCTGGTATGTTCTCTTCTAATAAAATTAAAAATCTGAAATAGTTGCTTATGAAATAACAAAACATTTAAGACCTTTAAAGGAAACCAAATTTGGAAAAAAAAAAAAAAATGCTTTATTAAACATTTTTCTCCAGTGTAATAATTTGTTTAAGTTGCTTTGTTTTTTGTGCTAATAATACTTTCTGTTTAATTTTACAGATAGACATAATTTCGTGTTATTTTTGATAACATATCTAAACAAATCGAAAATTGTAAGGAAATTTAACATTTGGGGGGAAAAATTGGAAAACAGTTATGAAGACCATATACAGTCATTAATTCGGACACCCATAATCTGGAATGATCTATAATCTGGACCTCAAAGCTAAAAACTTTCTGCGCATGTGCCGCGTTGACACATGCGCATAGGCGTTTACGCGTGCACGTAAGACCATTTACCACTGCGCATATGCGTGTGCGCAAGCTCAAAATACGTTTTCGCGTGAGCGTTTTATGTATAATGGACGGTATAATCTAAAATTATCTAATTATCTTTTCAGTTAATGTGATGATTGCTTCTTCCTTAATCTTCGAATTGGATCTAGCTATTTTTTTGCAGACTGAGAGCATTTTTATAAAAGTAAACTTGAACTTCGATTATGTCAATAGAAATCCGATTCTGGACTCCCAAGGATCGTACAAAACGAAAGTTGTTCAATGTCCATCAACAAAAAGTGGAATTGCTGCAAAAAATGGATAAAGACATGAGAAGGTGACAAGAATTAGTGAAACAAAAATTTCGATGACAAGTTAGTCTGTATTCTCGGCACAACAATTAACGGGACTTGAACAGCGGAACTTGTAACTGAACAAGAATTGTGTCTGTTTAGAAGAAAGAGAAAGTATTATCACATAAACGAAGCATTTTAAAAAACTTACATTGAAAAATGTTAATAAAGAAACAAATATTTAGCTTGTTTTTTTTTTTTTTTTTTTGTAATTGATACCCTTTAGTTATATTGTTCTTTATTCATAAATTACGGTTTCATAGTTTTAATTTTAGAATTTCTGCATGCCATCTTACGCGATTTAAACTGATGATCTATAATCCGGAATCGCCGAAGTTCCGACAAGTCCGGATTAACAACTTTTGACTGTAAATCTAAAAGAATAAAACTATCTATAAAATAATAAAATGGTTGGAGGAATTTTATTAACATAATTTTAATATAAAGTTATGAATTATTGTAAGCATTTGTAAAGACACAATATTGTAATGTAATTTAAAATCATTATTTAAGAATTCAAACACTATTTTTGTAACAAAGAAAGTTATGTACTATAATATAAAGAGTGTAACTTTGTGTAACAGAAGTTAGAATTTCTTTCTGCGTATCACCAAGTAGTCTGATTTTGTAACAGTTGTAGTTTAAAATTTTCCCTTAATGAGGAAAAACTTCTAATCCCTACCTGTCCCTTTCTTTTGTAAAATAAATGCACTCCTATGAGAATCCATTCAATTACGTGCAAGGAACATTGTTGCAAATAGGAGGAGATTTCTTGAATTGAGAAAGCATGAGGTTCAAGAAACCCTGCTCTTCAAGGCTCATACAGCTGTGAAAGCCCCGTGCCCGAAAGATTAAAAGCATTCTTTTGGATTTTCCTAATTAAAATGCTGTGAAAATATTTATTTGTATGTTTCAAGTTACATTTATACATACTTAATTCTGTTTATTAAAAAGTAAACAGGCTAAACTGTTTATTTTACTTTTACATAACAATATAAAAGGTTGTTTGCACTTTATGAAAATGATTTTGAGTATTAATTTTTATGCATAAAGGGCATTTTTCTTGTTGTGATTTTGATCCTTGATTTTTGGCTATAGCTCAAATTTTTCATGAAAGTAAATTTTTCTTAGCATTGCATTTTATCCCACTGCTCATGGATTGCATTCTGAAGTCTATTCAGTGTTCTTAGATGCCATTTTCTTAAGGTTCGTTAAAACAAACCAAAAGTACAAAAACCGTAGGTGTAGAGTAGGATGATTTTACAGGTGTTTCATTAAGCAGGATATATTTTATTTCGGTTTCTGAGTTTCCATTTGCTAAATAAGTGGAAGCTAACTTAAATGTTTGACAGAAGTTTTGTCCAAATGAAGGTCAACTTTATTGATGTCCTTTCCATGTAAGGGTGGAATTTCTTCAGAAACTGGTTCTAAAATATTCTGCTGACAGCACAGTTAATTAGTTTTAGCATTACTTGAGACTTTTAAAAATTTTAATTTACCTTCATAACAAAATCTTGCATGAATCCTGTTGGAATATATCTGTGCAAAACCATTTGTGCTATCATTTTCTTCAGTTGAGCAGTAGAAAAATTGATTTTTTATTACAGTTATTTAAATATACCCATGCTTTGTCAAGTGTTATCCTGTTTCCATTTATTATCAATTATGTGTTTTTCATGTAATTTTGTACAGTTTGTGTTTTATACTTGCAATATGTGTTAGCTAAAGCAAATGAACTTTAGATTTAAACATCTTTTTTAGCATCATATCTTTATGAATGGTGTTACTTACAGTGCTTGAGGACTTTCTCAGTTCTGATGCAATGAATCTTTGTGTTGGTAGATTTTCTTTCAGGATGAGATATTTAACCATTTTGGAACAGTCTTAAAATGTGGTTTTGTGGCTTTTTTTCCCCCATTTTTACTGTCAGCTTTTTACTTTTTCCAATTTAATATATTAAAATGCATTTCTTTGAAATAACCTTAATTTTTACATGGCTTTACAATTTCTTGATATGAATATTTTTCCAGATATATATTTAAATGCATTTATGTAACCTTTGAGTCATGTATACATTTTAGGAGCCATTTCCCAAATAAATCTCCTATTCTGCATTCTAGTCAAAACAAAATAATAGCCTATGATTGTATTAAAAGTCCCAAATCTTTGTCTTGATATATTAATAAGAAGATTTAAGTAGAAAATCTCTTCCAAAATCATTAACAGCTGTAACAGCTGCATTAGAAGCTAAATGTTTTATGTGCTTAAAAAAAAAAAAAAAAAAAAAAAAAAATTAAATTGAATATTTTTTGTGTGAACAAATTTTAATCATATGAATTTGTGATGTTGGCTAGACTTTTTTAATAGCAATATTGATTATACTTTGAAATTTTTGAATCTATTGTAATGAAATGATTTTTATTGGATAGGAAGCTCGCAATGTACACGTTGAATATGAATGTGAACTTAAAGCTATGTATGAAAGGCAAGATTTCTTAAATAAGGGATTAAAAGTGAACGTATTGGACACTGACGAAAGTATGTTTTTATTTGTGAAATAAATGACTCAGTAACTGAAAATATTGTTATTAGAACACTTAATGGTGTGTATTTTAATTTAATATATTGATGTTCTTTTTCAATGCCGAGAAATAATATAAAAACTTGTTATTGAGATCTAATTTAATGCATTTATCATTTACTGAAATGCAGTAATTTTTTTCCCCTCTACATTTAAAAGATATTTTTATTGGACGATGTTAGTGTTATTCTTCGTATTATTACTAGTGTTATACGATTCTAGATATGTGAATTTTTGTGTGTGTGTCTGTGAAGGGGTGAAATCCTGTACCAAATATTTTACCCTAATAGTCAAATTAAAACTACAGTTATAATATTAATAATTTTGAAAACTGTTATAAAGCAAGGACTAAAAATTTTGCTTATTTAGTGGCTGTATAATTTAATTGTATCAAACTGAAACGATTATGGCAAATTGCTTAAAGTTTCACTGAAACAATTCTTACTTAGATTAGAATAACTCTTAAAATATCCAGCTCAAAGGATTAATATGTCATTAGAATATTGCCTGGTGGGGAATATAAATGGTACCAAGATGTTAAAAGGTATTCCAGCACTGCTAGTCTTTCAGAATTTTTCATTTTTTCTCCTAGTCTCTTCTTAAATCTCGAAATCTCCCAGTTTTTAATTTATCTGAATTCAAAGTACGATTTTTTTTTTAAGTATGTTGGTCATTAAAAACTGAAATAAAAAGAAATGCCATGAAGCAATTTTTGATAACAGGTTCTTTAAAAAAAAAAAAAAAAAAAAAAAAAAAAAAGAAGTTAAAGCGATAATATTGTAATCTACATATGAAGCTTAAAATGGTGCAAATATAATTTTTTTAAGTGATTTTTCAGTATATCTTGAAATTTTTATTTCATCTGATCAGTCTAAATCCATTATTGAGATCTGTAAGCAAGGACTTGAAACCATTAAAATCTTAAACTTTCTCTTCAAATTTGTGTCATAATAATACTAATTAATTTATGGGAAACATGTTCGTGGACAGTATAAAACTACTTCGAGGTCTCGAAGGAACACTTGGGCTGCCAGTTAGACTTTGCTTTACTAGAAAACAATTTATGTGATTAAAATTAATTTGAGAAGTTCACAGTACCAGAATATCGCTTCGTAGCAGAATGAGCAGTTTTAAACAGGCGAAGTCAGAGCACTCTCCTTAGGAAGATTCCTTAGGTCATTCAAAAGAATGACCTAGCCCTTCTTTTAACTTTGCATATTTCTCCCAGGACCCTCCAGGAGCTGAAACATGCACTTTTAGAAGAGTAGTATGCGATTCTACAAGACTTGAACAACACTTTGTAAGGTCTATGAAGTCAAGATGTGAGGTATGCATATCTGTCTGAGATGACTATTAAAGAAAATATATTAAAGACCACATGAAAAAAAAAAAAAATTTACACAGGTGACTTAATTGTTCCATCATTTTCAAATTTCAGTAAATTTGGTTTTAATTTCAATATTTTGTGAATAATTAACTCCCAAAAATTGTAATATATGTTAACTAATGCTTTCGTACAAATATCTATTAATGATATTTCATTAAGTATTGCTATTAATAATTTCTATTAATAGTTTTTATTACATTTTATTTCTATCATTATCCTTTAATTTTGATGACCATTGTATTACCTAATAGTGCTTTATATTTTTCTTTATTCAAGTAAATTTTTTATTATCTTTCAGATAAGTGGCCTGTTTTTGTAGAACTGACTAATGGATCTATATTTGGATGTGATTTCATTGTTAGTGCTACTGGCGTCATGCCCAATGTATCAGGCTGGCTGCAGAATAATGAAGTTAGTTTGCATTAATATATACAGATGTGTAATTTTCTGTCAGGTACTGCCTGAGTACAAAATATTCTCATTCATATATTCCATAGGGTCAGTGAACAGCTGTTGTACAGACATACTTAGCTTAGATGCTGTACTTTTCAAATTGATGCTGTGGATTTATTTATAATTAATGCTTTTAATATGATTTACTTCTTAAAAAGAGCATAAATTTGATGATCATGTGTATGTTGATTTTTCTTCTTAAATATTCTTAAAAAATCAGTATTTGAGCACTACTGCTGAGATTAATGAGATTAATGACATATTTCTATCATATCTTCTGTTGGAATAATGGCCATAGATTTTTAGAGCAAAAGAACATTTGCTTGAGAAGGGAGTTTCGTGCTAATAGAGTGTTAATTTTTCATTTGTTATGTATTTGATAGAAGATCAGAAATTATAGCAAAAGGTATAGCTTTTTTTCTTGATCAGTGTGAGGTGGGATATTCTTTTTTATTAATCAAACAACAGAGAGGAAACTCTGTTTAAACAAACAAAACACATTTTATTACTATTTACA